TCCTGCTGGCAAAAATTAAGATAATCACAGATGGCTAATGATCAAAAATACTGACTGACAGCTCTGAAGTACAAGGCATAGATAATATTCTCAGAGCTACAGTTTATTTATACTCACAACTGGCTTAAGGCACCCACAAAATCTGCTTTTGCAATGCCCTATTATAAAAGGGATCTTTTAGCCACCGTTGCAATTTCTGTTGCCAAGGTTTTTCCCCAAGACTAAATTCCATAATTATTTCACCAAAATACTTGTGTTTCAGTGTAACAATCTGTAACTAGTTGAATCTACTCAAAGATGTAGACTATTAGTTTTGGTTGCATTATAATTAAAATGTATATTTTGAGTTCTTAGAATTACTGTATTATACTTCAGGGTTTAAGTACTGCAGAAGTCGGTCAGGGCAAAGAAAGGGTCCTGAAACTTGTTATTTTCTCATATTTGAATGATAGTGTACAAAGTGTATGGTTTCTTTGGTAGAGTTCAGAAACCTTCAAGGAGTTTAGTCTTGTTCCCACTTACATGAGTTGAAACATTTAGTTGATTCAACCAAGAGGTAGATGGGAAGATTTTCTCAAATCTATTTATCAAATCAATTTTTCTCAAATCTTACTTATCACTTTATGGATCCTTTAAAAAGGGTGATAAACATTTTGTAGAATAGAAATTTATCTTTAATTTCAAAGCACTGACTGTGTTTTAGGTTTGTGATTGTTATAACTTTTCAGTACACTTCCAACATGCAGCATCAAATGTTTTCTAATAGAATGTCTGCCTTTTTGTAATGCAATTTTTAGCTCCTGTAATGTAGATGAAAAGCTGGGAATATATTCCAGACCTATTTAAAACATTTGGTAGTAAGTCTGACAGTTTTAAATGCTGAAAAATATTACCAAGGGGGTGTTAGCAACATTTCCTATGAAAAATTATGAGGGAATGGCTACGTGGAAAAGTTTGTACTTCTTCATCCATTTTCAGGTACATATTGAAAAGATGGGAGAAAAAGGGCAAAGTTTCTTTGAACTTCACTATTTTTTTTTTAAATTCAGCAACAAAAAAAACTTAAAAATGAGAGAGAGAGAGAGAGAGAGATGCTACTTATGGAAAAACTACATAAAATTTCATATCTCACTGGACACCGGTAAATCCAGGAGGAAGACATTTCAAAATCCAAAACTGCAGGAAAACCTACAGTCAGAATTTACACTTGCTTAGACTATGCAGTTCATCTCCACAGGACCCACAAACCAGGCTTCAGTAATCACAGAGCTCCTGGGAATACTTGCTTAATAAACCTTTTGATTTTAAACTAAGCATGAGTTTTGGACATAGGCTAAAGATTTCTGTGCTGACAGCAGTAACCTTGCTGATATGTTGTGTAGCCTCAGACTTTTAATAAAGGTTCACATTCTTTTCATTCAAATGTCTGATTGGACTCTTGCTATATGAACTGGAAGTTCTGCATATAAGGAGCACCATATATCAGTGCAGCTGCTATTATGCCAGAACAGTGTAAATTGTACAATGGCAGGCATGGAACTGAAGTAATAATTAATACAAACTTTTGCCCATGCAGACAGTATTATTGTTGATCTTCATCCTAAACAAAATTATTTCAGCAAATATTATATCATTTCATCTAAACACAAGTGCAATTTATAAGTAATAGTCTGTGACTTACTAGCATTCTAGCAGTAACAAAAGTGTAAATAATGACTTCTTAGGGTGAAAACAGGTATACAGTGTTACATTATACAACTCAGAAGTCAAACATCATACAACTCAGAAGTCAATCATAAAAAATAAAAAGAAAAAGAGAGAGAAAAATAATTGTTTTCTTGATAAAAGAGGTGTTAAGAACTACAGGGACTTAAAAAGCCAGCACCTTTAAAGAGCATTTATTCATTCTACCCCTTTCAAAACTCAGTTACAGCTAAGTGAACTATCATAAGTAAACTATTTCACTGAACTAAACAACAATAAACCAAAACGAGTAGAAGCACTAAAAGCATGCCTGAGGCAACAGAAACTTTGGTGTTAATTTCCATCTCTTTCAAGTGCATTTGATGAATGATGTGACAAAAGAATCCTAATTAAAGTCGAAATCCTGAATACTAAATAAATTAGAAGTGCCACTACATTCATCTTCTACAATGATAATACTGCCACTTCTACTCCTTCTCTGTGCCCCTTTGCTTACATCTGTGGCAGTAACTCAGCAAAGGGCACTTCCAGCACAGATGGGGAAATGGATACTCTTCCCCCAAATAGAAAGATAATAGGACAGGCTACTTTGTTTCCCTTCACTGCCTTCAATTTACACAAAGAAAGCCTACCAGGAGCACTCAAAGTATTTTTAGGTATATGTTTTTCCTCTCAAATGACGTAAAACTTGACAAACAGCACTACACTATTTGGTCTTCAGTAGCCCCAGAAAAGTTGCTGTGTTTATGGCCATTAAATTTTTATTTCTTTTATTACTGGAGAATCATTAAGTATATATATACTTGGAGTAATATATAATCCTAATGGGTTGGAAAGCAACACTGGAGGGATGAAATTCTATGGCTTGTGTCACACAAGCCTGGCAAGACAATCATAAATGACCTTAAAATCTATGAATCTTTCAAGGAGCTGCCCCATTCAATAAGCAGACTGGAACATGAATTATGACTCCTGAGAGACATCCTTTCCCTGTTCCCCTTTTGTTCCAGGGAGCAGCTCTGAAATACTTCAGGAGAAGTTTATATCCCCAGTGTGCCCAAGCAGCAGGTTTGTCTTTTTCTGTTCTCTTTCCACTCCTTACAGAAAGAGGGCTGTCAAGGGAGGAGGCCCTTCAATTCCCACTGCAAGGACACTCAAAATCTGCCCATGCAATCAAAAGTGGTGCTTCAGTGCTTCCAAGTCCCATTTGTACTGTCTACAGCCTGTGACAAGAGAAGTCCTCAAAGGCTGTAGTCAATCAGGAACTCAAAGGGAGACAAGGAGTCCAATCTCTCAACTTTACCAGCAACTAATAGTGGCCGCCTGTTTGAAAAAGTGCAAAAACATAATGAACATGTAATGATACTGCTCCAAATTATTCTCCCAGCTCATAGCAGTTTATAGAAAATCCTGATTTAGAGTTCATACTTTTATATTTAATGTGTCATGATGTATTGCACATACAAAGAACAGACATGGTAGAACACTTCAACACTGCAACTTGGGGTCTTAGTCGATGGCAAGTTGAATATGAGTCAACAGTGCCCTGGCAGCCAGGAGGGCCAACCAGCATCACCAGCTGGTCAAGGGAGGTGATTGTCCTGCTCTGCTCTGCACTGGGGAGGCCTCACCTTGAATATTGCACACAATTTTGGTCACTGCAATGTAAGAAAGATATTAAGCTGTTAGAGAGTGTCCAAAAGAGGGTAATGAAGATGGTGATGGGCCTTGAGGGGAAGCCGTATGAGGAGCAGCTGAGGTCGCTTGGTCTGTTCAGCCTGGAGAAGAGGAGACTGAGGGGAGACCTCATTGCAGTTACAACTTCCTTGTGAGGGGAAGAGGAGGGGCAGGCACTGATCTCTTCTCTGTGGGCAACAGCGACAGGACCCAAGGGAATGGCCTGAAGTTGTATCAGGGAAGGTTTAGGTTGGATATTAGAAAAAGGTTCTTCCCCCAGAGGGTGTTTGGGCATATGAACAGGCTCCCCAGGGAAGTGGTCACAGCACCAAGCCTGACAGAGTTCAAGAAGCGTTTGGACCACGCTCTGAGGCACATGGTGTGACTTTTGGGGATGGTCCTGTGCAGGGCTAAGAGTTGGACTTGATGATCCTCATTCAGCATATTCTCTGATTCTGGGATTCTGTGGAAAGATCACACAACACTGTCTTTTCTCGCAGTGATATCACATTTCTTGGTTCTTTTTAAACAATATCGTTTTATTTGTATTTTCTAAATTACAAAAGAGTTGCTTTAATTTGAGTTTTTAAACAAGTTTTTGGATTTGGTATATGAAATCCTATTTTTTCCAGAGGAAATGAAAGAGACAATTATCTTATTGAAAAAGATAGATTGCTTGTTTATATGTCTGATATATTTTAAGGCCTAATTTTACCCCTAATCTAGATAGTGACATTCTAATGGACTACTACATTTTTTTTAAGGACTGTGAGTGAAAATTGAGCTTGTGTACGCCTGGTATATAATTTCCAGAATTCTTGTCAGCATGTGGATTTTGCAGCCCTAATTTTCTCCTATGAAATTTGGACTGAGGTTTTAGAAAGGATATTTATTTGTCTTAACTGTAATAATGATCATTTCAATGATCACAGTAGGTTGTCAGGCTAATTATTCTATATGGGTAGGTATATATATATTTAATAAATTGCCTAAATAGGAGAGACATGCCGAGACACATATTGTACCATATTATTTATTGAAGTGCCTATCTTACACATGCACAATTGAGTATTTGCAGCATCAGCTCTTGAATTTTAATTTTGCATTCAGGTACTAACAGTAAAATATTTTATTTTCAATTTCACTCAGCATAAAGAAAAAGTTCACCCCACCTTAAAAATGCACAAGATAACTAATTATCTTACTAATTCTCTCTCGCACAAACACCTTGTAATACAGGGATGCAACCTGGATTTTCCTGTATGCCTAAAAAACAGTTTGTTTAGTCAAATATAAGACTTCCATTTTTTTCCTATTTTTGAATGACTTCATATTTATGTCTTGTGGAGCTGGTTATGGAAAAATAAGGTAAGAAAGAGATATTTGAAAAATAAATGGTTGGAACTTGAGAGCTTAGTAATTCACATGCATGCTTTGTAACAAAAACATGAACTGAACAAGATGGACTTCTTTAAACAAATGCAAGAAATGAACTTCAAAATTTAACTTATCTTTTTTCATGTGGTATCACATGGTACAACACTGTTCAATGAAGCCACTACAAGCTTTCCTTTCTTAGGGGTAGACTAGGCTGTAGTTGGTCTTCACCATCACTTTGACTTCACTATCCCTGACCTTGATCCTTTCTGCCACCGTCTGCTGTGATCCCTGCGGATTAAATGCTCAAAGGTTATTGATTTACATGCATGTATATGGGTTGTCATCTCTGGATTCTTAATAATTGATTGTCAAAGCACTTTTGCACCATGCACCTTGCTTTCTTTGGCAGAACAAGTGCCCTTTCTTAGCTCAGTGTTCAGCTACTCTTCTTTGGGGTATGTGAGTTCCAACCAGCGTAGTAAAGCATAAAAATACAAGTTTGCCAGTAATGACCCAGTTGGTAGCCCTCAGAACACTCAGTTAAGAAGTTAGAGAAAGCTTTTCAAGTTCTTGCATAGTTTTTTTCCTGAGGCTAATGAAAAATATAGCATGAAGCATTGTCATTAAGAGAAATCTAGATTTTACTGAATATTTCAAAGGAAAGTGTTCTCTTCAAGAGCTAGAGAAGAAAAAAGTGTAGAGAAGAAAAAGTTGTTCTGGTAAGCGTTTTCAAAAATGAAAATGATCTAAAATTATTTGTAAAACCACTACTGGGCAAAAAAAATATAATTTAAAAAGAAAAATCTATGTTTGATCTGAGATTTATGTATCCTATGAATATATAGGTTACTGGTGTTCTTTTAAGCTTATTCTTTTGAAAACTTTTGTGAATTTTGAAGATTAGGAAGTGTTTTTTCAGGTTGTCAGTTTTGACAAAGACTCAGCTAAAATTATGGTTAGGTTTGTTAGCTGTGTTTGGGGTTGGGTTTTTTTGAAAGTTTTTAAACTGTTTTATCTTCAGTGGTTTTACTGAAAGTTGGTTGATTTGAGCTACTGAGTTCATGCTAGTAAAGTCCAGATTCCTTAAAACTAGTGGCCTTGCATGTCAATTAAGCTTAGAGAACATGGTTAACTGAACACTATAATTTGTTAAATTTGTTGCACGCACCAGGAAGGTAACAATAGGTTTCTTGACAGAAGTGTTTTTTTCAAATGGCTTAGTCTCAGAGCATCCTTTTGTTACCAGACAAAGCTTTCTGGAGCCACAGTGTGCTACTGTCACCATAAGAGATTTGAAATGTATTGGACAGAGTAAACTGTTCCTGTTGTGTAATGTTTCCCTATCTCTCTAAAGGCTTACAACATCTTTTATCACAACAGGGGGAAATTTGGATCTTTTATCAACTAGTTCAAAAAAGCAATCCATTTGAATAATGTGTCTGGAACAGTAGTCTATGGAGATAATCAGTAGCTTATTAACCTTAATCATAACAACACATTATCACTATTTGATTTCATGTTGACTAATTTGCAGAACAATGGGGAAGAGCATACTCAGCACATAAGACTCTTGGCACTGCATAAATACAGTGACCCTCACTTGAAATGTCAGACTTAAGAAAAAGCTGTATCATATGATGAAGGAAGAGAGTCAGGGAAAAGAGGATCATGTAATCAGAGAGTTAGTTAAAAAGTAAACACTTCTTAAACCTCTGGACAAAGTGAGACCATCATCAAACAGATATCTAGAGCACAGAATAAAGGTCAGTTACCTTTTATCATGTTTGTGTAGCTTCAGTTAAACTAACAAGCAGCAGCATGTGCTTAAGGTCATAGTTAAACACTTTTGCCTTGATAAATGAGCTGTGCATTTGGTGCTTCCCTTTCAAGAGCATGGCCATATTGGAACTCTGATCTACAAGAAAAAGACATCAGAAAAGGAAGCAATTTACCTCGAGGCAGAAATCAGTCATTTTAGGTGGTAGAAGGAAATGATAACATGTCTAATAATAATAATAATAATAAACTAAAATGAAGTAGAGAAACCTCAAAAATAAAACAATTCACTTAAATTTGGGGGAGTGAAAGTGCAGAATTAGTTTTTGTTTTCAGATTTCTCAAAATCACCAAAAGCATTTTGTTTTGAACTATTTCAGTGTTAAAGGTACATTTCCTACTACTCAGGAAGAAATATGGCCATAAGTCTTATGAGAGATTTAGATGTCATAAGACTCCATCCTTAAAGGAGGGAAGGTAGATGAATAAACAGCATTTTTTAAGACCATGCTATATAATATGTTATATATACCATGCTAAATAACAGTTCCATTGAGTTCATTCAAAAAAAAGGAAATATTAGGGGTATTAATATAATTTCTAAGATAATGTAAGGCTATAATATTTTCAGTAGGAAAAAACGTGAGTACTAGAACTTCAGTATACATCTGAATAGCATTACAACATAAGTTCAGGAATTCTTAGGTTCTGTATTATGAAAATAGTTTTCCTAAAATTGTTTACAAAGTAAAATTTAGGTGACAACACCCAAAAATTTATTAGAACCAGTTCTACTACAATAAACTAAAGAAATATGAAAACCTTTTGCCTTTTCACTGAATTATCCTGTGCACTATACATCTTTAAGTGTATACTTCAGCTTAATGGTTATTGTGTCACAGGATAGCAACAGTTTCCTTGCATTATTTGCACTTCAGAGAAAAATGTGACTGTACAAATTTCAATTGGCCAGAGCATTTACACAGAATAGGGTTTTGCTACAGGCTAAACTTTTTAATGCTTATACAATCATAGAATCGTAGAATGGTTCGAGTTGGAAGGGACCTTAAAGATCATTAGTTCCAACTTCCTTGCCATGTGCAGGGGCACTGTCCACTAAGACCAGGTTGCTCAAATCCCCATCCGGCCGGGCCATGAACACTTCCAGGGATGGGACAGCCACTGTTTCTCTGGGGAACCTGTGCCAGTGCTTTATCACTCTCCTAGTGAAGGATTTCTTCCTAATATCTAGTCTAAACCTGCCCTCTCTCAGATAGAAACCATTACCCCTTGTCCTATCACTACACACTCTTGTAACAAGTCCCTCTCCACCTTTCTTTTAGGCGCCCTTTAGGTGCCGGAAGGTGCTATAAGGTCTCCCCAGACCCTTCTCTTCTCCAGGCTGAACAACCCCAACTCCCTCAGCCTGTCTTCATAGGAGAGGTGCTTCAACCCTCTCATCATCTTCGTGGCCCTCCTCTGAACTCACTTCAACAGATCCTCATCCTCCTTATGTGGGAGTCCCTGGACAATGCTTGGTTGTAGCTGTTTCCATGATAGAGAGAATGGCAGCAATATGTTTATGATTTGATAAGAGTTCAAAAAACTGCTTGCTATAAATCATAGTAGAGCATCACTATGAATGTTAAAAGGTCATGAAACACTTTTTTTAGTAGATCAGTTTGCAAAGTTAAAAAAAAAAAAAATTCTGGGCAACTCTTCTTCAGGTGTCATTCAGAAGCAGCAAGACATGACATATTCAAAAATTTCTATAAAAAAGAGAAGAGGCACTTGTTCTTTCTTCAGAACTAAGTTGTTTTATTTTCCTTCTCTGTTCTTCTTAATGTTCAATCAGAATAGCAAAACATATGAAAATTTCTCAAAATATCAAATCAGCTTGAAACACTGCAGGCTATGTTCTGATACAAGAGTTGAAAATATTATAGGCAGTATTTCACAAAGAATTATTTGGCACAGAGCATAATGATTTTCTAATGGATTTTTTTAACAGAGAAGGAAGTAAAATAGGATGAGAGAGGTAAGCATACAGCCAAACTAGGAACAGCAACTGAGGCTGATGAAAAAGGTCAAATCTGAGAATGCTGGGTAACTAACTGTAATGTTGAAATGAGGCCTCAGACAACTATTTTTAACCAAAATCATAATAACAAGGTTTGGGAGAGAGTGAAAATTATTTTAGCAAGACTTCATTATTTCAGTGATACAGATTCACGATGTTGTAAATTAAATTATTGCCATTTTGTCTCATAAATGATGAAGATAATAAAGGCTCTACAAAACAAAACTTCCCACATTTTCCTGCTAATATCAAAACTCTCTGGTGGAGGGAGTAACTGTTTTTTTTCCTACATGTCACTATCAGTACTAGACCACAACTGTAAGATTGGGGTAAAGTATCTTATAAAGATCTGCAGTGATTTGGCTTCTAAATCTGCTAGTAACTAGATAGTAAAAAAACCTAGGAATTCGCACAGGATGTGGGATAGGATTGAGACAGAAATATCTCACACATACTATACATGAAAAGACAATGATTCCACAACATATTTTACCTTATCTCACATAAATAATCTTACAGATTCAGGGCTCTGGAAGCAAATATCTGTGTTTATATATGCATTTTTATCTTCAAAATACTTATATATTTAATTTATACTGCTTCTAAATAATCACAGATTCATATTATCTAGAACCATATCTTCATTTCACATCAGTGAAGAAATTTGCAACTCATTTTTTAAGACTGTAGAATTTGAATTTTACTGGAGTGTGTTGTGAGCAGATTCCACTGTTAATGTACTGTATGCTGGTCTGATCTGAAACAATGCAGAAAAAGTATCTGATTTTTACATTACTCTAGGCAAATATTTCCCATAAACTTCAATGACTATTGAGACTTTAGCGGCAAAGAGTAAGTGTAAAAACAGGAATTAACTTTGTGTGTTATTTGGTATCTTATGATAAACTATAAAACATTTAAGTGTGAAAACAAAAGCTGATCTCTTCTGTTATCCAGCTGCCTGATTCTTAGTCTTTTATCATGCATTTTGCTTATGTAGTTGAACAACATCAGTTCACAATAAAAGATGCAATATTGTCTTCACTTAATAAAGAGATTATATTTTTATTCAGCATTTATGTTGATATTTTTAGTATCATGCACACTGCTAAGTAGTCACAAGATCAAATGCACTTTGGCTTAGTTTCAGTATAAAAATTAGAAGATGTTGATTTTATTACCACTCTGACAATATATTTGAGAGCATGTTAATGAGTATTAATGTCATATGCTTAGCCAAAAGAATTCCTAAAGTCAGAGTGCTATTTTATCTGCATAAAGCACTAAGGAGATGAATATATATTTTGATAATTATTTTATATCCTGTTAGCCAATAGTTGGATACAATTGAAAAATTTCCTACTGTATACACAGAAATTATGCTGTATTTTGTAAAACAGTAAAGCTGATGACAAAAGTGACTGAATTCCAATAGAATCTATCAAGAATATCCAGACAAACACAGAAGTAATTATATTATTCAGCCGAAGAATTTTACAGTTGTCAAGATAAACATTCTTGAATTTTTATTTGGTTTATTTTAAGAAGTTCCAACCAGTCTGAATAATTAATTACACGGAAATCACTATGAAACTATTTAGGTTTCCTTTAACAGAATGTTTTACATTTTTTTTCTAACAATTTTTTCAATCCCATAAGAGACTGAATTCATCAAGGAATTAAATGAGAAATGGAAGCTTCTGTTTCAGAAAACAGAATGGCAGCTAGACAACAGAAAACAGATGCCAATTATTTGCCAGTGTCTGCAGTAGAACAAAACATTTTATGACATTTACTTTGCCTTAACAAAGCTGCTGTTGTCAATCAGCAGGTTCTGAAAGGAGACTCTATATGATCTAGGATTGAAAAAAAATTCTTACAGTTTGGTAAAGACAAGAAGATGAAAAATACATGGTACTTTTTTGGAGTAGTGACAAAGTAAGCTATATTAGCACAATCTGAAATAATAATCTCTTACACTGTAAAACCAGAGCTGCTTAATAAATTAAGTGAAAACTGAATTTGCACTTTTTGGTCTTAGCAGTCACAAACCAGGATTTGTTTTGTTGCACATTGAGCAGGGAAGAATTCATGCTGTGCAATAGAAAATAAAATCTTTTTTTTTTCAGTATATTAGCTATTTTTATTTGCCCGGAGTATGTATGTGTAAGGTGGGCTAGTCTTCATCATGTGCCATCCAAGGAATACAGGAGGTAGTATCACACTACTTATCTTTAACAGACCAACTCAACACAGGATATATTAATGATAAAAAGTCAGGTCAGCATTTAATAATTGCCTTAAGCTAGGAGCTAGGACAACACTCAAAACATTAAGTTTGACTATGTAACAACTTTGAATTAGTAAACACTTTAACTGGGTGGGTAACTGACAAAACATGGCATACTGTTTGTGGTTTACCTATTTTATCAGCATAAACTATACAGATAAAATGCTTTCTGGAGGTGGAAATTGTACTCATATTAGGAATAATGTCTGCATTATTCTTCCAACCAGACCTTTCTAGCACTAAGTCTTAGATTAAGGGCAAAGAATGTTCACTCAAAGGAGAGTGCCTTGAAGAACAGTGCTAGCAGTGGAAGATAATGCAGTTGAATGGTTACTTTTTGCACAGGTTTAGGTATACAAGACAAAAATGAATGAGGATCCACTAGGAAAAAAAAATTGCTGTATTTTTTTACATCCAGTTTCTAAAATAATTACAGAACATCATTTACTATCATTTCATATGGGAACATCTGCTGCCTGTGGCAAATCTGCAATATCTCACGTGTTTCCCTAAGCGAAGAGCTCATTGTAACAGTGCAACCAGAGGAGGTCCAACCATGCTCCATGGTGGGCAAGCAGCTACATGTGACCTACCAAACACTGTACTTCACATCAGTCCTCCTAGGCCTGACTCATGAAAGAGATGTTTGTAACAGCCTTTCTAACCACATTGTCTGTGTCTTCAGTTCAGCCTGTACTTTTGGAGCCTTTCGTTACAGTGGGCCTACCACCATTCTGTCAGTGATACCACATACAGCTTCAGTACATTTGCCTCTTTACATTCCTCTGCCTAAAATACTAATGACTTCAAAGGGTAACGACATCCCAAATATACCATGCCTCAATCCCATCTCTAACAGAGTACCCAATGATAAGAATAAATCACCAAATCTCATTCAAAAAACTGTTACCACAAGTCTCTGACACTCACATAAATAGTTACTGTTTCGATGGCTGCATTTTGGAGAGGTCAAGTGGAGATAAGTGCCTGTGAGACTTCAGCACAGTTTTCTCAGTGCCAATACACGTTATAAAATGAGTCACAACGTGGAGAGAGAAACAGGATGACATCACTGCACAGTGCCCAAACTCTGTTAGTAGTTATTTCACACAGTCAAATTGTTCTAAAGTTTTAATTCATTGTTTGTTTTTGTTTTTCATGGTTACTGAAATCTGCAAAAATATACTTAATTTCTGTAGAGTTTTTTCTCTGAAATTATTTGCTTTCACATGAAAATAATAATCCTCACAGATATTTTCATTAATATTTTCTGGAAACAGAATTATAAACTCAATAATATTGGTATTTCTGGCAAAAAGTTCACCTAAGTATGTTAAGCATGTTGAGCTATGACTTTACTTAGAACAGAACTTTTTGTTAGAGAAAAAAAAGTGGCTTTTCTACTAGTCAAGAATTCAGATTATAAAGAAACGATCTTCAGTTAGTACATTTCTTGCAGACTAAGCAAGGGCTAAACAAGACTAACTCATCCTCGCTGGATGATGAGCCAGCATGCTGGAGAAAGAGGGGCTGAGAGGCGGAGGATGAATTAATGATGTTAGGGAATATATTGCTATGGCCCAATAGTACATCTTTTACTTTTGTGAATAGTTCTACTGATTTCAGGTGAATAGTCCTTCAGGATTAAGGCACTGATTAATAAATGTTTCAAAACAAGGCCAAAGCCCCGGTCATATTTTAAGTCTCAAAAACACAGTAGTTTCTATCTAACCTAATAGATCAGAACCTCCACTTGCTCATTAGCTGAGGACCTCTGCCCTCCTTATTAGGCCCAATTCTTTCAGAGGAACTGTCAGATGGAATCTGCTGCAATTGTACACAAGACAAATTCCATGTCATTAATGGAACAGGTGTTTAATGATTTTGGATGCATCAAGTTTATCCAGCTTCTTAAAAGGTCTCTTCTCATATATAATAGTGGCTGCAACATCAGGGATCATTTGTAGAAAAGGTTGGCACTTCCCAGTCCATCAAACCTTCAGCTATATGTGCTCTCCTGGTGAATTTATTCAGGGAGATTTTAGGATCCTAAACTTAAGGGACTGAACAGTGTTTAGGATTACTATTACTAATACTTAGTAGCCAGTAATTCATCCTCCCTGAGGTCAGCAGATTTCTAACTAAGGCCACAAAGAACTTAGGATTCATTAACTGTAATATGCAAGAAAGATTATACTTTAGAAGTCTTATTTCAAGGAAAGGTTCATACATCAAAAATGTTTTCAACTGTGGATATCTACAAGTAATATTTTTTGTCTATAAAAGTATGAACAGATGCAAAATCAAGCTTCATCACAGTGAAAACCGTGCATTTGACTGAAGTCACGTAAGATATGCTTGACACTGGACTTACTTTAGCACATTTTATCCCAGCTACCATATTTTCTTTAGTGAAAGAGTTGAGCAGAATGAAGCCATAAAGTTACATGGCATGCTCCCTTAAAGTAAAGGGAAGAGGAAAACGCCTGAAAATGTGGATAAAAAGAGTAAGAGATTTTCCAAACAAAATTAGGTCAACTGCATTTTAAACACTAAACCTTACTTAAAAAGGAATGAAGAGTTGTCATGTTTCTTTTACAGTTACTAATCTCTGATCTTATTCAGGCTTTTGTGTTAGTGTGAAGGATCTTTGCTGTCAACAGGGTGTGGATCCATCTTAAGAAGCCCAGGAAATTTACCCTAAAAGAACAACTTTCCCTCTTTAATGGAGACTCTGTTCTCTAATTTTGTCATGTTCAAATTACAGTTCATTCAGGATAATATTAAACAGGTGCTCTCTATGCAAGGGAAAGTTTACTATGAAATGAAGAAAAAATCTTAATCAGACACCATCCACATACAGACAGAAGTCATGAAGACAGCTAAGGTTGCATACCAGTGAAGAGCAATGCACACATCCCCTAGCAGCTTCTTGCAAAGCCTTGTTGCTTAGCTCAAGCTGCTAATGATCTATTAGCCAAGTCACTTTGGCCTTGAGTAATTGAGGTGTCCCACGTATCTTCTGATCTATGAAACTGGCCATGGAGGCAGCCAGAGATGGCAAGTATTTCAGCTATCACAGCTAAAATAATTGATATTCACTTGCCAACAACTAACCAGTTGGTCCAAGAGAGCACTTTATTGGATTTCTAATAGGGGAAACTTGACGGAGGCTAAATAACATTTTAGACAGTCTAGGACTTTTGATACTTGCTCACAATAATGGCAGATGCAACACAAGGTCTAATAGGAAAGAGAGAGATAAAATGGCACTGTAAACCTACTTCTAAGTATCTTAAATCTGTATCCCTGCACCAGGTCAGATGATAGAGTAGGTGGGAATCTTGTGTTCTTGATGGTAGATGAATTCTCATGCACTATACCAATGACACATCGTCTCACACCTCACAATGAAAGAATAATTTTGGTACTAAGACAGTTATCGCTTTTGCTTATAATGCATTTATTAGTTTAATCAACTTCGCATGAGTATATGGCCCCACCATGTAGGATTGGACAGCTTTTGTTCTTTTTCTCCCCTCAAAAATGTTTAGTCTGGATATTTGATTTCCATCTTTGATTTTCTGGTGGATTGTCTGTATAAAGAACTCTTTCAGACAGAGTTTGTAGGTGAAATAGTTGATATGGGACAGTATGCTGTTCTTTTACTTTGAGCTTCCCAATATTGCCACTGGTGAAGGAATTTAGAATATCTGAATAAACTCATTAGGAGTCAGTATTGTGAAGTGGTTTAAGAGCCTTTGCCACCCACAGGCAGTTCTGCATAGCTGCCACCTCTTGTTGCTGCTATTCCAGCTCATCAGGAGTGGGAATCCCTCTGAGCAAAAGAAATGGGAGCTACACTATGTGGACACTTCTGTGAGAGGCAGCACCAAAGCTGAGCTGGCAATGAAGCAGGAGTTGTCAGTTCCCATCTGGGTTTTGGGCGTTGTTTCTCTTCTTAAAGGTAATACCCTGCCTCAAGAAGCTCGCACCAAGTTCTGAATGCAGATACTGACCTTTCTGCGAAGCCTAGACCCTTGTCAACACTCGCATATTGAATTCACCAATAGTAGGAATTGTTTCTTCCCTGCAAATCAAGAACTAGCCTCTGAAAGGCAGCAGTTTCCAGCCTTCCTCAGCCTACCGTGAAGGCAGCACTGAAGTCACAGGGACCATTTTCCATATGAACTCAGTGGGAGCAGTGATCTTGTCTGCTTAAAAGCAATATTCAACTTGTCTCCTTCACAGAGCAAACAGCTGCTTTGAAACCATGCTTTAACTTTCATTAGTGCTGGCTTTTTTCCCTTGCTTATAAACAAACAGGAGACAGGTTTCTTGCGCTGATACTAATTATATCAGTGTGAAGAAGATTCCTACTCACAGTAGTGTACTTTTGAATATGGAAAAAATAAAATATCTTCTTGTTGACTACAGATGGTCAGCTCATGTTGTCCCTTTTCACCTTGATCATTTACATCCTCTACCCAAAGAAGAATATCCTTAGCCCATTTTTCACAATAAACCTATCTGTCCTCACTGAAATTTGCCTTTAGAGAACTGAGGATTCTCTTTGTCCCTTTCTTATTTTTCCAGATCTCTAAAATAAACCTTATTTCAGCAAATTTACTGGGCTACAGTTTGGCAGCTGCAATATTTTTGATTTCAAGACTCTCTTTAAATTAAAGAAAAAAGTATATATTTCACACTTACATTTCTAAATCAAATTCTCTCCTTCCTTTTTTAAACAAGAAAAGAAGTTATGTACAGGATGCATTTGCCCTGAAGTGTCCTTCACCAGATCATATATAAGTAATTATAATCATAGGCCAAACACCAGTTTTCACTCACTGTCTTGTAAATTAGGATAGAAGAGCAATCCCTCCTACCTTTTTTCATGGTCCTTGATCTCTGGTTGAAATATGCAATCTTTTCCAAAATACCTCTGAATAAGAGGTCAGAATCATCACTCTGTCATCTTTCATAACCGATAAGTTCTAGGTAAAGGAGGAGAAAAAGGAAGCCTCAGTTGATAGGAATCACTAAGAACAATCCCATTTGTAACTTTGCTGGTGTGACTATTTATGTTTGCCAGTCTAGAGAGGTATGCAACTATTGCTTCCACATCCCTTCCAGTATGGCACTGAATAGACTTTTCTTTTAACTATGGCATTGATATGAAAGAAAAAAATTTGAGAGATCACTTTTGGCATATCCCCTCTATGCCAGTGTTTTATTTATAGTTTTCTTCTACGCCAGTGTTTTATTTATGGTATTAAATATATAAAGAGATTATAATGCAGCAAAAAAGGCTGTTATGGGAAAACAGACGCTGTTTTGTCCAAGAGCCATGCTTATGAATAAGGCCACCTGGCCTAACACACACTGATTTTCAAACATATACGGAACAGAGACCTTTTCTTTTTTTTTATTATTCAATCAGCTATTTTATCTGTGTCCCGCAATGGTGCATAAAATACAGGACATTTCTTTCTAAGGCACTGACATGAATCAGATCTTATCTTTTAGTAGAGAACAGTGTTCTGAGGGTTTTTTTGAAATCAAGCCCTCAAATATCTTCGCTGCCTGGAAGTACATTAGTATTAAACCCAGCATTTATCCCACAAGTTATTATGTAACCATTGTAAATAATATATAAATACTCCAACTTTGTCTTAGCTTAGCACTACTTTTAGAACTGAAATTTTATTAACACTTTTTATTGGAATTGGTAGTAAATCAATCCCCTACCTTCTCTACAAGGCAGTCAGCCCCTCCTAGTGGCTGCTCCCAATCTGCAGCAAAACACTCTCCAGGTTTTCCTGCCGTTTGTTTGTCCTTGGTCTTCGCTAAGCAGAGCAGTGAAGATGGAGCTGTGAATTCTTTTCCTCCTTAAAATAGAGAAAAAATGGGGAAACCTTTTGTGATTCAAAGTTATTGATGGAAAAAAATAAACTGACATTAATGTTTGTGTTATTCCTTGCATTAAAGCTTGTCCTACTTTTCATAGCCTGAATTTTATGAGTCATAGAAATGTGAGATCTAAGAGCCTATATTGCTCAATTACTCATATTCCTTCCTCTGTTACATCAATACTTTTTGAAGTGTTTTGTAAAGCTGAGCAGTAAAAGCCAAACTATTCCACAGATTGAAGGTTGAAAACCTGAAAAATAATACTTGTAGTAATATCCTTCCTTTTTACATCTTTCCTTCCCTTAATTTCAGCAACACTGCTCACACAACTGATTATGCACGTTTGCATGCTTGTTGCAGTGGGTCTCTGTCACTCAGCCAGGAACACATTTCTGACAATCTTCCTGGTTTTCCTTCCTCAGTTTTACTGCCTAGCTGACTATTTCTGACATGATGTTTCACCTGTTGAAACTGCCCAAGGAAATTTTTGACCAGCATTCCACATCACCACTACAGTTGTGACTTCCCCTTTCTTACATATGAACTCTATCAAAAAAATACAGAAAAAAAAAAAAGAGAAAGTAAGAAAGTCTCATTCTCTCTCTGTCCCTACTCGTATCTTCATAGCAGACTTGGGGAATGCCAAAAAACCCCAAAAACCAACCAAACTAAAAACCACTGCTGACTGCAAATTATCAGTGCAATAGGGAAACATCTCACACAGTGATACCCATATATTGAATTTATTACATAAGACCCCATGCAAAACCTATTTATCCCTTGATATGTAAATCCTTATAAAAAAGGGTTTAAAACCATTTGAGGAAAAGAACGTAGAAAGTTTCAATAAAACCCACTGGTAACAAGCTATCAGCTGCAGGTCAGCTATCCACCCACTTTTCAGCAAAGGGCAGAACATCTACTGTCTTTGCTCAAGTTACTGCATGCCACTTTCAATTTAGATTTTAGGTCCCTATATTAAGGCAGTACTCTCAGTCAGCCAGTGAAGATGTGCTTCTGGTGGCCATCTGAAAGTACCAACAAAAGTCCAGATTTTCAGAACTAGGTATTTATTGCTTTGTGAGAATAAGGCAACATGCCAGGCACCTACAGAGAGAGCCAACCCAAATCAATAGCTAGCATCTTAGCAGGAGGTTAAGAACCCATGCACAGCACAGCAAGCAGACAAGACAAGCTTCATTTCTGATATAAATACACAATACACTGAAGAAAGCCTACAGGCATTGAATCTTTTAGTATCAGTATAATTATCTTACTCAACTACTTTGATATTGAAAGATACAGCCTTGTGTACCAAAACACATAGGTAAAAACTAGAAGTAAAACTTCTGTTTCTAGCCACTGAAAGGGAGAAAATTGTAGGTCCTGCCTTTAATATCATTAAAAGAACATAGTAAAGGCTTTTTCAACCCCCTAGTTATGATTTTGGGGGAAAAAACGGGGGGATATCTTGTGGCCTGAGGCAGATTGCTGTAGTTCTTAAGTCCACATAGATTCTTGCTTTCCTTTACAACAATCTAGGTGTTGGCATGGACCACGATTTTATTGTTACACAGATTTCCAAGATTGGGATTTTAATTTTTGTTTTACATTTAAAGTCATCTGACCAATAAATCTATCTGTAGCTGACTGCTGAAGATGGCTTCAAGCCAATGCTGAAGAATGTTCACCTGAAAGTAACCCCTCCTTATTTCTATAACAGCTTATTTTTGGTTGAAAAATTATTATTAGTTATTAATCTGGTGCTTTAATCTAAACTGAGATCAAGGACTTACTGCATCAGATGCTGCCCATAAAAACACCAAGTACCAGTCACTGAAAAAAAATTAGTTTGTAAATCATATAGTCAAGACAGGTTCAAATAAAATACATTCCACTTTCTATTAGAAACTGAGGTTCACGAAACTGGAATTGAATGGAAACCTCTATTTTTTCTTTATAAAAAAAATTTCCACCAATTAAGGATTACTGATATTATTCCTAGAGTTACTTGAAACAAAGACAATTTACATTATTCAGTGTTTTAAGATTATAAAATATGTAGGAAAATTATTCAGTGTTTTAAAAAGTACATACCATCTTTGAATGAAAATCTGAAATTTTGTGGTTTACCACAAAATTGTCAACCAGCCTGAATTTTGATTCAGAATCATCAAATAAAGCTTTTCATTAGTGTCACTAAGGAAAAATGATTGAATCAACAGATTTACTCTTTTAGAAAATACAGAACATATTAAGACCATGCATATAGATAATTCCAGAAACTGGATGCATAGACTATTAGCTTGTTAAGCTATTGAACATTATCTTTGATTCCAGTGTGGGTTCGGAAGCCAGCTTTTGACCCCATCCTGCCTGAATGTAATTTGCTGGCACAATTAAAAAAATAAAATAATAATAATAATAATTTTTATAAAACCTAGATTAAACTAACAAAAAATTAATTCTGTAGCTGTCAGGAAAGCCTATAATGTATTCTACTCTATCCTGGAATGAGAACAATTCCTAAAGCAGCAAAACTGCAACTGACTCAGAACCCCATCTGAAGTTCCCCAAATTCAATAGAAATTCTTTCAGTGAGCCTAATGGGCTTTGGGTCATGGCCTCATGCATTAAAATAATTTATACAGAAAAAAATCTATTTCCTTTTACTTTCAATTAATCAGTGAACTGGTTGCGACCTATTGGTAGAATGGTAAATAATACGGAGAACAGGTCAGTTGTAGAGTGACTTGGATCACTTGCAGAGGTCAGATTGGATCTAAACATAGGTTTTAATGCAGCCAAGTGTAAGGACTTCTATCTAGAAACAAGGATTATTTGTAAGATGAGAAAAGCTATTGTAAAGAGCAATGATTCTGTCTCAAGATTGATAACAAATGACTATAATAGTAGATGACCAGTTGAACCTGATTTTCTTCAGTGAGCTAACATGATCCTTAATTGATTTGCAAGCAAGGAGACATGATAAAAATGGTAAGGCAGCATTAGTGGCACTAGTATTGAAATTCTTTGTTCAGAATTAATTTCTATAATACTGAAAGGATATCAAGGAACTGGAAATCATTCTGAAAAGATGCAATGATGCTGTCTTTAAAATATGCCTCACTGTGTGAAAGATTGAAAAAGCACAGCCTGTTTGGTTGATCTGAAATATGTCCTAGAGATAACCTGCAGACTGATTACAGAGGAAATAATATTTCTGATGATCAGCAGGAGTTTAAATGGTATAGGAAAATCATAAGTGAATCTAAAGAAAATTTGACTAGAAGCAAAGGGAGAATTTGAAACATTGAGGAGACCTAACTTTTGGAACAAAAGGATATTACAATTACACAGAATTGTATAATTAATGCAAAACTATTTTTGTCATCCTCTTTTACCCCAAAAGAATTTTTGTTTATTAAATAAATTAATGGATTACATTCTTTGACTTGTATGAGCCAAAGGTATGAAGGAGCAGGTTGTGCTACGAGTTTACGGGGAATTAATGGTCTTGAAGCTAGTGCATACTGGGTCTTATTTCAGGTGGGTTGCTGATTTCACCTGAGAAGCACAACTGATGGATAACTGGGTACACTGGCTGTAGATACATCTAGAAATGAGGAGCTGATTTCACCTGAGGGAAGATCATTCCCCACTACAAGACTCATCACAGTGCAATGCATTCAGGGTATGTGTTCGAGTACTACTGTGTTTAGCAGGGATTTTCATGTATTTTATTTCAATGGAATGGTTCTAGTACAGGTATTGTGCTTATTCTGTTGCTCATTAAATTATTAATCCTCTGCAAGTAGGCTATGGTTAAGAAGAGTATGTTGCCCTACACATTAATGGGTATAGTACATATATCAAATGTATTACCTGAGGTAATGTAGTGGGGATAGACAGGTTAAGGTTGAAGGTGGTTACAGGTGGTTATTATGTCTTTTTCACTTAAAAAGCTATGACTTTACAGCATGAGTAAAATGAATACATGATAGTTCACTGAACCACATACAGCATCTTTTCCAGGTTGAGTTTTGTAGATGGTCTATTTTCCTGAGATCATATTGTTAATTAGATTTGGAATACAACACAGATGTTACAATCTCTTATGTGTGGAGCTTTGTAATTCAATGTCACTAATGAATACCAGATCTTATTCTCCAGATGCAGATGCATCCCACCACCCTGAGTCACTCCAGTTTGAGCAACCAGGTAGTAAGACCCGGATAGAGACTCAGCAGATGCAGAGGACAGAGCAAGCTCAGGCATTTGTATGAAGTTTGCTCTGCTGTAGTAGAAGGCTAAAGGTTTATAAGGTGTGAACTAGAACCACAGAATTAACAATTCTTTTGGGCACCAACTAAATTAGGATTCCCGCAGGAGTTTCTGCCTAGGGGAACCTCACAGGTTATGTGCCTGGGGACAGCAACCAACACAGCACAGAAACAAGCCCACCCAAGGTGACCACTGTATATGCAGGTGTCCACCAGTTCCTACCAACTGTGAGTTAAAAAATCCAAATAAATCCTGCCTTGAGCACTCCATGCAGCAGGCACGCTGTGTCATGTCTGGCAGATAGTGTGGGGGACCATTCCCCACTACAACACTTGTCACAGTGCAGTGACGGTTGTTGGGATGCGCCACTGACACTCTGGAATTTTTGCCATTGAGATGATGGAGGGGAATCAGCAGCATTTTCAAAAGCCTAATGCACAACCACCGCTTTGCTGCCAAGTGCACAGACCAAACACCTCAACAGGAGAAGGACAGTTACAAGTAGTCAACAGTACTACTAGAACAGTTGTACATTTATTTTACATGGTAGAGATATCAAGCCCGGGTAGGAACTGAGAGTTGTAGTTATTACCCCCATATTCAGACATTTTTGTTCTACTTAACAGATCCTTCTCATAGTAATCATGATGAATCAGACAGTGATGAGCAAATAAAAGCTAAAACCACTAAACACATAAGGAAATCTAAAGGGCACTTAATAAAACTCCTTGATTTGCTATTTCAACTTTTAATACACTCTATCATAATTAATTTTGATGATCTTAAGCTAAATTAAAAGCAACGGGTAGCACTGCATGGAAGGAAAAGTATAAGGGCACCTTAATGGAGCCACCCAATATAGTGCCCTGTAGGCAACCATAATTTAATTTAAAAGCACACTTGATATGCAGAAATACACCCAAGTAAAATGGCAGGTGATCCTCAAAACAGAATAAGAAATAACTGTTGTATCCATTCTCAGCCACAGTAAATTTGTATGAACATGGTGCTTTTCATTAAGCAATCAATAATATATTTTATTAGTTCCAGAACACTGCACACGACCCACTAGAAGCAATCTCACTCCACAGTTTTGAGTGCGAATACCACAATTAAACCAAGAAAAAATAAATTAGTTTTTCTGAAATCTGGAGGTTTTTGAGTTGCAAAAGTCCAATTACAAATTAGCAAGCTGTGAATAATCAGACTGAAAAAAAAAAAAACCCAAACAACAAAACAACAAAACTCAACAGTTTTAAAGCTGCATGAGTTTTACTTGTAAAAT